ATGGTGACATCGGTGATAAGAACAACTCCACAATCATGGAAAATCTTCAGATTCTTCAAAATAAAGCTGCTAAGATAATTCTTGATCGCCATCCGCATTATTCCGCGTTCGAAGCTCTTGATTCTCTTGGTTGGAAGCCACTGCATCTCAGGCTACGTTTCCATCGTTGTACAACGATCTTCAAGTGTTTGAATGGTCTTATTGATTTTGACTTTAATTTTGTTAGAAATAAGTCAATTCATAATAACAACACGCGTTCCAGAGACGATTTTCACTTACCTTGCGTAAGAACAAAATGGGGCAAACAAAGTTTTGCGTATCAGAGCGTCGAAGGCTGGTACTCTATAATTACAAAAGCCCTGGTGACACGGATTGTGACTCAAGACCATCTACCTCCAGATGCGGCAGATACGCGCTCTGCTTAAATTACCTGCACAAGCTAAGAGAAATGAGCTCCTAAAAGAGACACAAGAGTCGGTCAAGAACAGCCTAACATCAAGATCTATGAGAGCGGTAGAGCTAGCATCGGAAAAGGGCGCTTCGAGCTGGCTAACTGTTATACCCATGAAAGATCTGGGTTACAATCTAAGCAAGTGAGAATTTAGAGACGCCATCAAGATTAGATATGTCTGGGAAATCTCCGATCTACCGAAGACCTGCGCGTGCGGAGATTCTTCTGACGTTGACCATGCGAGGATCAGCAGGAGGGGTGGTTTTGTGATTCAAAGTCACAACAAACTTCGAGATCTAGAAGCTGACCTGCTACGCATAGTATCTACTGATGTCGAGGTGGAGCCGATTCTTCAGTAGATAACTGGGGAGACCTTGAATAGGGGTGCGAACAGAGCCCCCGACGCCCGTCTCGACATACACGCCCGAGGTTTCTGGGAGCGACAGAGATCTGCATTCTTTGATGTTCGGGTATGCCACTCAAATGCAGAATCCTACCGTGAAAAGACTCCCGAGCAAGTCTACATGAAGCATGAGAGTGAGAAGAAACGTCAGTATGCCAACATGGTCATGGAAGTCGAACAAGGAACTTTTACGCCTTTAATATTTAGTACAACAGGTGGAATGGGCACAGAATGTAAAGTATACCATAAATGTTTAGCTGAGTTAGTATCAAATAAAAAGGGAGAGAGCTATGCAGACACCATGTCATGGATTAGAGCCAAGGTGTCATTTTCGCTCATTCGTTTAGCTTTGCTGTGCCTGAGAGGATCACGATCCATCAGAAAAACCCTCGATATCATCGACTTGGACTTCTCCCTCGAGAACGCTACCGCCTGCCCAACGTAGTTTTGTGAATTTTACCAAACTGTTTCTACCTTTTTGTGAATTTGTTATTAAATTATTATGATTACATTTTAGGGCAAGTGTTATTTTATTTCTTGAACAATAAAGACGCTTTTTTATTTTAGCATCGACAATAATAATGTTGAAGATGATGAAAAAGATTAGATTATAAATAGAATTTTAATTGAAATCGGAACTACTATTAGGTCGTTTTTACTTTTAACTTGTAATTAGTTATTTGCTTTGAGTGATAATAATAATAATAATAATAATAATAGTATTTTTTAATACTTTTTTAATTTTTTAAAAATTTTTTAATTATAGACTAGTGAGCAGCACTTCTGCGAACAGTAGTTGTAAAACTTCTTGTATTTTCCTACGCGTTTCGTCTAACTGTCATAGACTTCTTCAGGGAGTTTTACAAATATGACTAAACGCCTGAGTCTATAAGCCAAGTTACAGGGGCCGATGACCGTAAAGGCTTGGCCAGTCTTACGAACAGGAAAAGGCGAAGTTGTGAAAAATTTGTGAAAAATTTAACACGTGTAAGGCAAGGTGAGAAAAATATTTTGGGGGCCACGGTTTTAGCTAACACCGTGGCCCCCAAACAACTTACTTACATAGTTTTTACAACTTACTTACGATCAAGAATAGTTTTTAATAACCCACGTTTGTAACGATCATCAACATGGCTCTTGTAATGTAGTAAAAGGCCCGTATTTGTAGGTTTGACGTACAAATACGAGCCTTTTACTACATTACAAATATGCTTGATCGTGCATTTCGACTTTCATCTAATTGGCGTTATTTCTCTGAAGAATGCGATCGACTTAAATCAATATTTTCTCGTTTGAAATATCCTGATAATCTAGTCAATTCTACCATTTCACGGTTTGTTGCCGCCAAAGTATCTGATCAACCAGTTTCCTTACATTCTGTCAGCGATCGATCGGACCCCATTCGCGTTGTCCTACCGTATAAAGATCAGGCATCCGCTGATATTGTTCGTGCCCAACTTAAAGATCTAAATCATAGGATCCAGACGACCTTACAACCTGTATTTGTTAGCCAGAAGATTGGTCGAGACCTCAAATTGCGAGAAGCTAAGCCGCTGATCGTGAACCAACAGTGCCTTGTTTACAAATTTCAATGTGACCTGTGCGGTTATATTGGTTTCACACGCCGTCATCTACACCAACGTATTGAAGAACATAAAAAAACTCCTCTTCGTTAATTGGCAAACATTTTCGCGACAAACATTCTTTGACTCCAAAGGATCTTACAAAGAATTTTAGCACCTTAATGAAGTGCACGAACAAATTTGACTGTTTCGTCTATGAGATGTTTTTTATTCACAAGCTAAGACCTGCTCTCAATGTACAGTCTGATTCAATTCGTGTTAAGGTTTTTAATTAGCTTTTTACTAGCACTTATTATTTGTTTACACCAGCAAATTTTTTTTTTATATTTCGTACGTGTATATATACATATATTTACTGTATTTCATTCCATTCACTTGACAATGACCGAAGCACGGTCGAAACGTTGTGTTTTACCGTTCATTTTTATCGTCAAAAGTTTTAAGAAACCCTTGCTTATGACAATAACAAAAGGTGAAGAAAATTTCATACACTATTGTTTTTACTTCAATGTAGCCTGACGGAGATCCAAATGAATTGAGAACTCATTTTTAATTATCGCTTCTTAAAATATTTGTCTAGAAAGGAATAGATATTCATCAATGCCTCATTGTGTAATAATATATTTGTGTCAAAGAATAAAACATGCTGAATGTCATGCTAACGGAGGAAATCCTCAACTCCCACCCTTTGCACCTGTTTTCCTTTCCTCTCCAAAGTAAGGGACGTAAATAGTGTTATCTGTAACCGCTAAAAATAACTAACTCGTCCTGTTTCGTGCGACATCTGCGTAGTTTAGCTCATTCCACGCGTTAGGAACGCCCCTACGTTTTATCATTATAAATTTAAAGTTTCTCTTTTACATTTTGTTTCAGAACTATCTTCCTCTTTCTAATTGATATTGTCTGTCAATAAGCCTCGTGATCTGTTTTTTTTTTCTTTTTTTTTATCTCAACTGCGGATGTGAATCCGAGCCTCATGAACACAATCAAAGCTTCTATTTTTGTGGCTACTGCCACCTATAGGAGGTGAAGCCACGTACTGTGTCGAGATGAGTGACTGAGCGAGTAAATTCCGATCTTGACCCAATTTTGACCTGTTCTTTCCCACTGCTACTTTTGTTTCTTTTTCGGAGAATCTTAGTAGTTCGACAACCGCAATCGATACACAGTTGAGCTCTCTCCTTTTGTGATTTCTGAATAACAGCCACTCCTTTTGTGATTTCAGGATTATAGCGGCTAGCACGTTGTGACACTATTGAAGAGAGCAAAAAGGCGATAGATATCTTACAATCATCTCAGGATTGCGTTCGATTTAGAAAATAAGTTTTACCTGCATAAATATCTTAATAGGTGGTGTAATCAGTGTATTATAGAAGTTGGGGTAATATTTTTTTTTTATGTGAAAGGAGCAATTTGGCGTTCAAATCAACAAATTATGTAGATTCGACGATAGAATCATTGCCGTACGTGTTACTTCAAAAGACGATAGGCATCTCAAAATAACTTCACATTGGCATCCGCCGAGCATAATTGTCGTACAAGAGCTTTTTTGTTTGTTTAAGGTAAAATCTGTCAAGAAGTTGCGTAAAATAAGTACTACTCCCGCGTTGAAAAACTTGCCAAATTTTTGCAAATCACCAAACTTTTGCCGATCTTGGAAGAACCTGATGTCTCCAAAACAAGCATTCGTGTTTTTCAAACCATTTTGCTGTCATAATGATATGCAAGATACGTCTGGAAAAAAGTTTCATCGGGAATATATTTTTAGTCCGCTCTTCTAGTTTGGCGAGTGATAGCAGGATTTTCTTTGTCCATCTGACCCTTTTTCTTTCGAGGTAAACGAATTCGAGAGTCGAATTCTGTCACTAATTACCCAGGTCCGCTCATACTGACAGCAATTTAGAGAACATATGGCTTGTACGAGAAATTATCCTTCCGTTGCAAGTATTGAAGCCTCCGCAGCAATTTGCACAGTATTTGTTTCCATTTCTTTTTAGAGTGAGAAGGATTTGTGATTAACATACGAATTAACCAGTGAAGTTTTGGTCAATGTATTCTTGTTTAATGCAACTGCTGTCAGAATTTGGAAAGTGCAAAATTTTTTAGCAATTTTTGGTTTGCCAAACATTGGAGAATATTTTAATTTGCTTCGTAATAGAAAATTTAGCCCTTCTTTGAATAAAACCTAAGTATCGAAATATACTTTGGTTGTTTTTTTCTTGCTTCTTTTATCGATAGTTTCGAGCAGCTGGCAAACCTTGGGTTACCCAGAAAAAATTTGCAGATTGACTTCGAAATTCGATCGACACCCGTGTTAGAGTTGACCCCCAAAACATTTCGGCAATTTTTATTGTAGTTCCTGAACAGCATTTGATTCGCATCTTTCCTTTCTTGAACGGTTCGTAAACAAATATCGAATAAGTCATTCGAGTTCGGGCCCCGCGCATGAAGGCTTCATTTCATGTATGAGACAAACGAGGAAAACATGACGATCCCCGCTTTTAAAGTCTGGCTAAAGGTACTCATTATCACAAACGGAAATATCAATTCTCCAGCAGGATCTCAGTGATTACGACAAATTGAATAAGTGGACCAACATCCTATTTGATAGACCTATGTGTCTATCCTATTTCACATCCATGGATACTTTGCTTATTTCTGTCAACTTTAAAATTCTCGGATTCAAACTCAGGCCCAGGCTCGGAAACAACTGGCGTTCGTAACTCATTTTCAATTCGGGCCCTGAGATGTTTTACTTCTTTGAATCGTATGTTCAGTTTTTCTGAGTTGGAGGTTCACACTTCCCTATTTTGAACACAACTTGCACTTTTTAATTCAACATCATAAAGGGTACATTGCGGAAGTTATGAGGGAAAGCGCCATAAGTCTTCCGCTGACTAATACCGAATGATTTCATCTAAGATTCCGGTAGCATTACACCGATAACCACTCATATCATCATGCGTTCACACCAAAAGCTTAACAGAACTTTTTTTTTTCTTTTTGAAAAATTTTTGAATTAAAAAAGGAGGAAAAATAGAGTTGGTCGCAGTTTTCATGCGGTACTCCTAAGGAGTCTATGAAGTTAACCAATTGTTAAAAAGTAATGAAGTATCACATTTTTGTGTTCATAAAATTTGTTCAGTAACAAGAAGCAACAAAAATTGGTGTTTATATTCCCTTAAGATAGTTAAAAATAACCAACAGTTACGAACGCTGGAAGTTTAAATATTAAGCAGTAGTCGCTGCGAAAAGGAAATTTAAGGCGTGGGATGTTTTTCTTCCGTTCTACACGCACCAACCTTCCGCATGGTCATAGAAAGAGATCCTTGAAGTCCTGGTTATCTAAATTAAATTGTTGAGGACGTAATACGAAAATAGCTGCTTAGCATTGACATAAAATATTCTCTTCCTTTAAAAATGGTCACCATCGGGGAATATAAATTGAGTTGGTTGCAGTAGTTCTTCCATCATATCTTAGCAGTCTCACTACTTTAAAAAGTTCAAATTTGAGGTAGTTTCAACATTCGAACAATGCCTAGTGTAATACCAAGTTCTCTCCAGATTTTTCTGCTCGTGGTGTTGGTTTCTAGGAGTCAAACCGAGGGTCGCCCAATCACATCGCTTGCAGGTGAATACGTTGCTATTTCTGTCTCCTTGCATAGAAGTTGTATTTTGCTTACACCAATACGAACATGAAATAATCTTTTTTTCCAATAGTTTAGATTTGGTCTTCGTTCTACTCATATTTGGCTTTGAATAACTCAATTTCTTTCTTTTCAACCAACCACATCCTCATTTTCTTTTAACAGCTAATTGTGCTGAGCTGTACAAGGCTGGCAATACATCCAGTGGTGTCTATACGATTGATCCTGATGGTTTAGGTGCCTTTGAAGTGTACTGTGATCAGAGCTCAGCTGGAGGAGGATGGACGGTGATCCAGAGGAGACTGGACGGCTCTATTAATTTCAATCGGAGCTGGTGCAACTACAGGCGTGGTTTCGGTAACTTGAGTGACGAGTTTTGGCTTGGACTAGACAAAATCAACCGCCTCACTTGGAGAACAAAGAACACGCTTAGAGTAGATCTGGAATTTAACCTCACCCAAGGCATTCAACGTCCCTACGCCGAGTACGACTTATTTGTAGTTGAATCGGAAACAAAAGATTATGCCTTAACAATTGGAGCGCTTTCAAGAGGTAATATCAATGCTAGGTGATAATTATTGTCATTCATACAACGTGTAAAAAAAATTAATCAGTTTAAAAGTTGTAGGTCTCGGCGTAGAAATAGCAAAACGTTTTATGCTGAAAGCGAAGACACAGTGGAATTGTGAGGAAATCTGAATTATTTCGCAGTCTTTCAAAACATGTTTGCACCCATATCAATTTGGCTCTCTGAATCGAGTGTACAGCAACTGAAGTCGTTATTTTCTCTACAAATTAACTGCAATTCGAGCCTCTATTCAGGGGAAACGGGGCCTGAAATTGAACACTTCTTTTTCCCGCAATCTGCATTTAGCGGATAATTTAGGCGGAATCTCTCCGTTCAATACGCTGAAAACAGCTGAATGAAAACCAGTGATACTGCAGTCACTGATACCGACGCATAACGCATGACTGAAAAGTAAAACCTGCTTTGAATACCCAATTCACTTTACGAAAAAACTTTAAAAAATACTTTTCTCACTGTTTTTTTTTTCTATCGATTCCTTTTCTTTCTCACTTTCAAGGAAACGCCGGTGATTCTTTTGATCACAATAACAAGGCCCGATTTTTAACAAGGGACAAAGACGAGCACGAGGACCAGTGTGCTAAGAAATTCGGAGCTTGGTGGTATCCCAAAGTTCACTGCGGAAATTCCAACCTTAACGGCGAATTCCAACTTAAGGATGGTTTAAGATGGTGGCAGTGGAGTCAACATACGCCTGAAATGAAATATTCAGTCACCAAAGCTGACATGAAGATCAAGCCGGACTGTACAGAATAATTTTTTTTGTTTAAGGTGTCATGTATATTTAAATATGTCCGTAAATAAAATTTGACAATTAAACTTATCTGCAATATGCAAGCTCTTTTGAAGAGTATCGTTTATTAATTGAGTTAGTATATACTAAAACAGTGGATACCATTGAGAACGCACTCTCATAGGCTACTGAAACTCTGAATAGGTGGTTTGCATGTTACGTCATAGCCGCCATGTTGGTGGACGTAAACAATAAATATCTCGTTAGCTTCTTTTGTTTGTCCACCAGCATTTGTTCCTTTTTGCCATTGTTACCTGTGTCTCTAGGGATTGGTTGCAAACCACCTATATCTCAGTTTTGCTATTCATCTCTGATAAGCTCGCCCGGGCTTTGCGGCTCAATAAATATCTACCTCTGGCCACCGAAACCGAGGTGAATAACTGTAAAGTAGGAAAATATTTGGACCCACTGACGCAGCAAGAACCGCGGGTAATGACCGTCCGTGATGACCGTAATGACCGTACATCCGAAGACAAGAGAGAATTGAATATTCTGCAAGTGAAAATACTAATCTGCAGGTTGATAAACATTGATGGACGCAAAATGAAAGGTCACTTCTACTTTCTTTCTCTCACTGTAAGTTTGGAATAAACAGATGTTAATTCGGTGCCTTTTAGATAGTGTTGTTACTTATCCTCAATGACCATTTATAATTACCACAGTCGATCAGAATGGTAATTCATGTGTCTAAGCAAAACCCTTCAGAATTAATAATTAAGGTAATCTTTATTCCATTTTTTACACCTGTTTTCCTGATGTTTTTATATGGAGGCGTCAGTGGCGTTTAATCACAAAAAACTCGTTCTTCCTGTCTCTTACAACATCCGCGTAGTTGAGCTCACACAACGCCTTCTGAACGCCCATACGTTGTTTATCTTAAGTTCCTAATAAGGTCAAAACTGACCAATACTAACCGAAATGTAACAAACCCTACAATTCTGTCATTTGTTCCCTACTATTATTGTCTTCCTTTCAAAAAAAAATCAAATAAATATTAATTTTTATTCGATATTCCAGTCGTAAGGACGATGCCTGGTGATAGGGATATATTTTTCCCGGTCATTGACTGTGCATAATTAATTAGGACCGAGTGGAATCCAATTCACTCTGTGATCATACAAATGATTAATTTTAACAAAATCGGACGACCACGAAGTGGAAGTCCGACTGTCAATCGCGAGTCTGGTTACAGACCGAATTGGACGACTCGAAGTTCTGTCACCAATTAATCATACTCATTACAATTTCCGAGAAAACCAACTGATGACGTTAAATTTTTGAGAAAAGGTAAGGACAATAAAATTTCCCCATCAGTTCCATTTGAATTTGCTTTGATATAAAAGAACTTAAAAGTACATTTCAAAATATTTCAACTAATTAGGAAATACGATCCTCATCAAAGAGGGTCTCAATGGGGTGGTGGCATTTTTTTAAGATTAACAGTTAAAACTTTTGGTCAATGCATGGCTAACGGCTTAGACGCAGTCTCTCTGAAAGAGCTCCAGTGAATTTCGGTTAAAAAATCGATTTGTTTCACACTTTGCCCATGAATCTGTCTGAGTGTAAACTGAAGTAATCGGAACCACCTGGTTTTTCGAAATATTGCAAAACACTTTTTTTCGAGCCAAAATCGCTTCAGTCGCTTAAATGCCCATTTTTAACAGCGCCGATCGTCAAAAATCACACAAGTTTTTCTTTTTTAACAGTTTTTTCATACCGTAAGTTATTTTTCAGTTTGACACCTACTTTGCCATTCGCAGCACTACTGTATTATGAAACTTTAAATTCTAATCTCAGCTCAAAAGTCCACCTTCTTCCTCGCGATATATTACTCAGACTAACTAATTAAACTGAGGTAGATGACTATGGATATGTAGAAATATGTCGTAATTTCGGCAATATTCTATCACAGCCGGTAGACTTAGCTCATTGCCGTGTAACAAATGAATACAGGGAGTCCGCTGGAAAACTAAAGATTTTTTAATGTAAATAGAAAGGTCATCTCTTTATTGCTTTTTACTTATTCAGTTCATTGCAGACGACGTGAAAATGAAATTTCAAACGGAGGGTTGTGTCAAAGGCAGAGACAATGCAAATTGAACATTACTTTACGATCAAAGGTGAGGGAACTAGAAAGCCTCACGAGTAAGCTAGGACCTCTTAAAGAAAGATCACCATTAATTATTTCACTAAAATTGCAAATAAATGTCTTAAAAACAAATAGTTGAATGTGATCGCCTTGAGGTATATCGTATTGACCCTAATACATAGGATAATACATACATAGGTTAATACATACATAGGTTAATACATACATAGGTTAATACATACATAGGTTAATACATACATAGGTTAATACATACATAGGTTAATACATACATAGGTTAATACATACATAGGTTAATACATACATAGGTTAATACATACATAGGTTAATACATACATAGGTTAATACATACATAGGTTAATACATACATAGGTTAATACATACATAGGTTAATACATACATAGGTTAATACATACATAGGTTAATACAT